GAAGTTCAAAGATGAAAAAGTCATATGATTCAAGACTAAATTCTCAACACGTAATTTCAAGTCTATGCGGCATCACCAATCTAATTGTCTGTCTATGAGGACACATATGAGATTAAGTGACTGTGTCAAGAAATGAATTTTCTAAATGAATATGAATTATTATTTTGAAACATGATGCTATTTATAGGTTCAAGGTGAAAGTTCCTCAAAATTATGCCTTAATGGTGCATTACCATATAACACAATAGAGTGTAATTTATGATGACAGAGCTTTCTGCTCTCCAAATAAAGATGCTGATTAGGCTTGCAAGGTGCAGTATTTGTGAACTTAAGCTAAAAATGTTTAACATAGAGATGAAAAAGTGTAATTTAATGGATTTCACTTTTCTGTTTCACATTGAACTCTAACCAGTGGAATGAGATTTCTTGGGGGTCAGTATGATTCTTAGTTGAACCTATTGTACCCTATCAAACCCTATGCAGCTATAGATGGTAGGGCTCAGTGGATAGAGCGTTGGCCTGTGGACTGAAGGATTTTGATTGGATCCCGGTCAAGGGTATGTACCTCTGTTTCAGGCTCCTCCACGGCCAGAGCCCTGGTCGGGGCGCGTACTTGAGGCAACCACTTGATGTGTTTATTTCACATCAATATTTCTCTCTGTCTTTCCCTCTCTCTTCCACTCTCTAAAAATCAATGGAAATATATCCTCAGGTGAGGATTTAAAAAAAGCGCCTTGCATAATTGTAGACTGAGTTTAATGTTTTTCTGCATCAGCAGAAGTAGAGAAGTAAACTCCAGGCCTACAGAAACTTAACTCAGAAGCACACTTGAACTATGAATGCTGCTTGGGCCCTCCTTAGGCCTGGTTTGGAGAGCTAACTCAGGGCAGCCACCAGCTCTCCATCATCTGTGTGAATTCAGAAAACTACCAGGGAATATAAGGGGCATTGAAATGACACCTTTTGTGAGTAAGCAGCAAATGCATACCAGATAATTGAATGTAACCTATTCGATTATCTGGTGGCACTGAATATAGGGGGGAAAATCAGTGGCAGTAAAAATAGTATTTATTCTGTCCACTCCCACCCTTCTACTTGCTGCTATTTAACTTCCTTTTACTATTTTTCTCCTCTTGTTCCTAAAACATTACAATCAGAAGCAGTAACTAGTAGGAGAGGTAGGCTGTGGTGGTTTTGCCCCATCTTGGCTGGCACCAGAAATCCTATCAACTTACTTTTAATTAATTTTTTTTAATATATTTTATTAATTTTTTTACAGAGAGGAAGGGAAAGGATAGAGAGGTAGAAGCATCGATGAGAGAGAAACATCGATCAGCTGCCTCCTGCACACCCCCTACTGGGGATGTCCCACAACCAAGGTACATGCCCTTGACTGGAATCAAACCTGGGACTCTTCAGTCCGTAGGCCGATGCTCTATTCACTGAGCCAAACCTGTCAGGGCCTATAACTTACTTTTAAGTGAATACAAAAGCATACACCATGATACCAATTTGAAAATAATAATATTAAAAAAAGAAAAACATATCTTTATTCCAAAGAGATGAGAAATTATACTTGTGTGGTAAGATTTTTTTTCTATACTTTTCAATATTTTATAATTCTTGCTCTTCAAAGTCAATTTCCAAATCAACAGAATTGGCAACACCTGGAAACTTATTAGAAATAAAGAATTTTGGGTTCTACTTATGTACGTGGGAGTGTAGATATCTTTCTGAGTTAGTGTTTTCATTATTTTTAAATAAATCTTTACTGTTGAAAGTATTACATACATCTCCCCTTTATCCCCCCGTTGCCCTCTCCTCTCCCCCCCCCCCCCGCCAAGCCTTCACCACTGCCACCTGTGTCAATGGGTTATGCATATATGCATATGAGTTCATTGGTTGATTTCTTTCCTCCCTCCCCCCTCCCCTGCCTTCCCTCTTTGGTTTGACAGTCTCAATCTCATGGCAGTTCTATATTTTTTCTCTTTTAGTAACGTAAGTTAATTGAATCAATTTAAAATTATATTTTAACATTTATTTATTTATTTAAATTGTTTTCCAAGTACATTGGACATACGATATCATAGTTTCAGGTGTACAACATAGTGATTGGACATTTATATACCTTACAAAGTGATCACTCCAAAAAGCCTAGTACCCATCTGACACCATACATAGTTATTACAGTATTATTACCTATATTCCTTATTCTGTAGTTTACATCCTGATGCTATATTTATAATTGAGAATTTGTACTTCTTTTTTTTTTCTTTTTTTTAAAAATATATTTTATTGATTTTTTACAGAGAGGAAGGGAGAGAGATAGAGAGTTAGAAACATCAATGAGAGAGAAACATCAATCAGCTGCCTCCTGCACATCTCCCACCGGGGATGTGCCCGCAACCCAGGTACATGCCCTTGACCGGAATCGAACCCGGGACCCTTCAGTCCGCAGGCCGACGCTCTATCCACTGAGCCAAACCGGTTTCGGCGAGAATTTGTACTTCTTAATTCCTTTTAGCATTTTATTCATCTCTTCAACCCTCCTTCCATCTGCCAACCGCCAATTTATTCCCTGTATCTATGAGTTTGTTTCTGTCTTGATTGTTCATTCATGTATTTTGTTTTTTAGATTACACATGTAACTAAGATCATATGCTATTTGTCTTTCTCCGTCTGACTTATTTCACTTAGCATACTAACCTCTGTGTTCATCTATTATATCAAATTATAACACAAAGTTATAGTAATCAAAACAGCATGGCAAAAAACTTTCACAGTTTGTGTCTTATCTTTTCTTTGTCTCAATAGTGTCACTTGAAAAGTAAAAGTTTTATACATTGATTAAGTTTAATTTATCATTCTTTTTAATGGATCATGCTTTTAGAGTCATTATTCTTATAAATCTTTGCCTCACCAAAGGTTGTAAATATATTTTCTCGTTTTTATTTTTTTAGATCTCTTATAATTTTAGATTTATATTAGGACTATAATTTATTTTTGG